TGCCATTTCATTTAGTATTAATTAGAAGATTTTAAGAGCACATCGATACGAAAAGTTTCTGACTTCAACCATGGAAAGCTGATGATTCAAAATGAAAACCTGCATTAACAATGGGAAACTTCTAACCCAGTTTGGACATGATGGTCGTAATTGCTATCAATTCCTTTCCGGGTAGCATCTTGTTGAGACTCTATACTCATTAACTTTCGGGTTTGAATTTTCAGTTTGACTGTGGTTACCTCCCTTCTTGAGAAATATGGGATTGATCCAAAACAAATTGGTCGGCTGGAAGTAGGCAGCGAAACTGTCATAGACAAAAGCAAATCTATTAAGACCTTCCTGATGACAATTTTTGAGGTATTGTCCTTGTGATTTTAGATACATTTTGTCTTGATTCTGTTTTTCGGTGGATAGAGTATGATGAGTGAAAAGTTAAATATGTTAAAAGAGGACTAGAATGTCAGATGAGGTACAAGTGATAAACATTATTCAAACAGTTAATGTTGGCTCAAAATATGGCAACCCTTTTAGTATATGGAAACTGAGACATGTTAGAAGGCAAAAGTTGGTTTTATCAAGTGGTGAAAGGCATAGTTGGCCAAAACAACTTACAACTAGCTTGGGTTGTTTTGGCCCTTGGTTCAAATCGCAATGCTTGTTTTTCAACACTTTTTATGTTTACCTGTATGTTCTGTCATTATTATGCTTTTAATAAGAGTTTTGTTTGGTATGCTATTTTATGCCTTATGTTGAGCTGATGTCCATGAAATTTTTTGACACTTTCTTTCTCATGTTAAACATGCAGAAACATGGAAATACTGACATTGAAGGTGTCGACTCAACTAATGCATGCTATGGGGGAACTGCAGCTTTATTCAACTGTGTGAATTGGGTGGAGAGTAGCTCGTGGGATGGACGCTATGGGCTTGTCGTGTGCACTGACAGTGCGGTATGAACATTTATATTGCCTTGGGCTAATGTCGATAACAGCAAATACTTCTGAATCAGAGATGCAATTCTGTTATCTTAATTTTGATAGTCAAACTCGTGTTGTTTGTGCAATACAAGTCAAAATACTGATTCACTTCAACATCAGAGTTAGACAGCCATTTATGTCAGTTTTTATTCTATTTATCTTATTGGAGGTGTTATCTATCAGGTCTATGCAGAAGGACCGGCCCGACCGACTGGTGGAGCAGCTGCTATTGCTTTGCTGATTGGACCTGATGCTCCTATTGCTTTTGAAAGCAAAATTAGGGGAAGTCATATGGCTCACGTCTATGATTTTTACAAGCCTGACCTTGCTAGTGAATATCCGGTAATCCTTGCTACTATTTTTGACATATACACGAGTCATATGTTGCTTTTTTATTTTCTTTTTCCTGATTGTTTCTTTGGATCCAAATTGAGTTAGGGCTAGTGATATTTAAATCTGAGCGATGCTTACTTTTCTTTCTTATCACTGTATAATCATAAAATTTTCATATTTGCAGGTTGTTGATGGAAAACTTTCTCAAACATGCTATTTGAAGGCTCTCGATTCTTGCTACAAGGAATTATGTAAAAAGTGAGTTCCTATATAAATACTGAATTGATTCTAATTTGTTTTCTATTATTTTTCCCTTTGTAAATGTCTAATTGTTTTCTTGCCTTCTATAGGTATGAGAAATTGGAAGGCAAACAATTTTCTCTGGCTGATGCCGAGTATTTCGTATTTCATTCTCCTTATAACAAGGTATAGTTTCTTAGGACTTCAGATATTGCAACTGATCCCTCTTTCTGGTTTACAATTGAAATCTTGAATGTTTTCTTTTCCATTTAAAAAATTAATTTTTCTTTTGACTTATTGCAGCTTGTACAAAAAAGCTTTGCCCGTTTGGTATTCAATGACTCCGTGAGGAATGCCAGGTTTCTTGTTTTTCCTTTATCTCTTTAAAAATCACAATGCCTTCTGGAAATTTATTCTTAATGTATGTTTGCTTGGTGATTTATTTCATTTCCTTCCATACGCAGCTCCATTGATGAGGCCGCTAAAGAAAAGCTGGCCCCATTTGCGAGCCTACCTGGTGATGAGAGCTACCAAAGCCGGGATCTTGAAAAGGTATAGTTAAAACCTTCTTATAGAGCTACCAAACTAACTGCTAGCATAGTTTTTAAATTCTTGCTGATGATCTTTATTTAATATATTTAAATACAGGTATCCCAGCAAGTTGCAAAGCCCCTATATGACGCTAAGGTGCAACCAACAACTTTGGTACCAAAGCAAGTTGGGAACATGTACACTGCATCTCTTTATGCGGCATTTGTATCGCTCCTCCATAATAAGCACAGCTCATTGGTAAGTGCCCTAAATTTCTTTTCCAAAAGGCTCGACTTCTTCACCTGAAAATATATGGTCTCATAAATTGTATTTGATAACAGGATGGCAAGCGGGTGATCCTCTTCTCTTATGGAAGTGGCTCTACTGCTACTATGTTCTCATTGCGCCTCAATGCCGGTCAACATCCCTTTAGCTTGGGGAACATTGCAGCAGTGTTGAATGTTGGAGAAAAGTTGAAGTCAAGACATGAGGTACTTGTTTCTTCATCCCTTTTCCATAAGCATAGTTTCATGACATATCATTCAGAGACGAACAAACTTGTTTGCTCTCAAATAAATGCTTGCCTCCTTAAATCATAATCCGGATTTACAATGTGATTCCAATAAATTATGCAACTTGCTACTTCGGTTCTGAAATTGCTATATTAAAATTTAAAATCCTTGGGAACACGGACATCATTTTTCTGTTGCCCTGAACCTTTAGCTTGCTTCATCACCTTACCTGGGTATAAGTGGTAATAGCGTAGTGGAGGTAAAATCAGGGTTGAAGATAGATGCATGTCATGATGATGCAATGCATAATACCACTGGGGCTTCGCGCAAATTCATCACATGAAAGTCACTGTGGAATGCAATTTATTTATTCTACATGTGTCTTTGATGCAGTTCCCTCCCGAGAAGTTTGTTGAAGTTATGAAGATCATGGAGCACAGGTATGGAGGCAAAGACTTTGTGACAAACCAGGACATTAGCCTTCTACTTCCAGGCACATACTATCTTACTGAAGTCGACTCTAAGTACCGGAGATTCTATGCCAAGAAGGAAGGAGGTAGTACTGCTGCCGTCACCTCCAATGAGAATGGAGTGGTTGCCAACGGTCACTGATGAACATATCCAAGTCTGTAAATGCCAAGTAGGCATTTATGTTATTAGATGTCAGTTGTAACTCGTAAAGCAGAACATCTTACATCTCCAGCTTCCATTAAGTTTGTATGTTAAAAGCAAATAGTTTGTTTCGCAGCAAGCCTTGACAGGTTAAAATTGTTATTTTTGTTCGTTTTGATAATAAATCGTTCAATAAAAATTAGTTTCACGATTGTTAAAAACCAAGAAAGTGTTGTGAGCAAACTGAGCATCATCATCCCCCATCACCCATGATTATCAGATTGTACCAGAGTCAAAGTAATTGACATAAGCCCATCTCTGAAATGGGAGAGGGCTGACACCGACTCTGATGAAAAGTATACTATTTCAGTACGATTACGAGTTATGGCCTTGGGTTGAGAGTTGAGAGTCTTGACATAAATGCACACAAACCAGCTGACCTAGAGCGATGCTCGAGTCAGTTGTCTATGTGTGAGAGGGCAGGCTCTGAGCTGTTGATGCATGTTGATGTATTGTGGTAGAAGAGTTTCCATGTAATAGGGATGGGATATATCCTGTGACAGGTAAACTCACTCGTGTGCGGACAACTGACGCTAGCGAAATCCTCTCAACTTTTGCGGAGTCGATTTTGTGAAGCTAAAAGGCTTTCTACTAGAGCACCTTACCTTTTGCGGATTGTGTTTGTAACTTGTGAGAGTGGAAGGGCATGAGACAAATATGATGAGGCCAGTCAAAGCCGTGGCAGTGTGGTCAAATATCACTGTGTCTAAAGCAATAGACTGCCGGAGCCCAAGGTTGGGATGGTGACGCTGAGAAGGGAACCAACCACACGAATATTCTCTGGAATCTGGATAATTGGATTGCATAATTGAGATTTGTGCACAATTAGCTTATGAATATACTCCATTCTGGGAAAATTATGAATTTATGATGGCGGTGTGAGCCGCTAAAACGGGTAAGAAATGTAATTAGCGTATTAATCACCGAAAACAATGTTAACTAGGTGTGGGGGATAAAAAGAGAGCTCATCAACTTTACTCCTTGCCGGCAAGTCAACACAGTCACTCAAACAGATTTAACGGTCAATAAATAAAATCCCACTTTTGGCTCTACCCATTCGACCACTACTCCATCTTGCCAAAGAATAGGTCTAACATATTTTGTGACTCAAATAACATATTTAAGTTGGAGTTGGTAATGCATACAACGAGTTAGAATTTAAATTATCGTTTTTATAAAAAAAAAGAAGAAAAAAAGATGGAGTGATTTATTTTCCGATAAGTATCGTATCTCTAAATTATTATACGTCAATTAACTTTTAATTTACTGATATTTATCGTTATAATGTTTAGATAAGCTGGTTTATCGTTTTAACAACTAGTTTATCGTTTTAACATTTAGAGAAACTGGTTTATGATTTCTAATGTTAAAAGGGTGTTTGTTGAAATTAATTATGGTCCTTCTAACATTGGTTTGGCTCAAAAGGTAAATTTTAAGAAGGCAAGAAGGACTTTAGGCTTTGTATTTGGGTGATGGACCACAGTAAATGGGGCGATGCGGCCAAATTGCCAAGTGCCAACCAATCAGCAATGAAATCCACTGAAGCATTTTTCCACACCTCTCTGAGTGACTCCATCTCTTTGATCCGATTGGCTGAGGCCTCAGTGGTCCACCACCACCGATTGGAACACGTCATTTTCCGTGGCCCACCCAAATAGGTCCCTAAAACGTGGCCCCCTCCTCCACCCTACGATCATCATGATCTCATTGTGCTTGTAAAATTCCAAACAGTGGGGCAGTGGGGCTCCCTTATTGTTATTTGTTATTTCATCCCCAATTCTTTTTTTTCCTTTTAATTTCTCTCTTTCCGTTATATTACTATATTTTCACAGTTTCATTTCTTCATGCTTCCTTTTCTCCCGTCCCGTCTATGGATTATGGAGATGAAGCCTTCGCCTTTCACTTCGTCTCTCCAAAACACACGAAGCTGATCAAAACCCTAATCATTTTCCCGCAGATTTTCTCGAACCAAACGGTCCAATTCTTCTCCCTTTTCGAACCGAAAACCCATCTGCTTCACTGACTCTCTTTTCGTTTTGTTATTTTTGGTCTCCGAAAATGACGTCGTATTTGGAGGATCAAGACGACGACGGAGGCACCTCCGATCTCAGCACCAGCACCGGCGACCCCGAAGACAACAACAACAACGGAAACGGGGTCGTTTCGACGCAACCCAACTTCGACGAGACGACGGCGTTTCAGCAGCTGAAGGAGGAGCCCATTGACTCCGACCCTCCGCCGCAGGCTCACTCCATCGGCATGGTTCCGGTGGCGATGCAAATGCCCATGTCCGTGGCTGTACCCGTTTCCAACCCGACCCGACGGGCCTCTACCAAGGACCGCCACACGAAAGTCGAGGGACGCGGGCGGAGGATCCGAATGCCCGCCACGTGCGCGGCCCGGATCTTCCAGCTAACCCGGGAGCTGGGCCACAAGTCCGACGGTGAAACCGTCCGGTGGCTCCTTGAACACGCCGAGGAAGCCATCATCGAGGCCACCGGCACCGGCACCGTTCCCGCCATCGCCGTCTCCGTCGGTGGGACCC